GTAAAAGTCCTGCAATCACAATATTACTCAAGTAAAAGTACAAAAGTATTAGCATCTAAATAAAGTAATTAAACTCATTGTGCAGATTGGTCCATTTCAGAATAATATATATGATATGTTTTATAATGATTGATCATGAAAGTGTTCTCAAAGCTGGTAAAGGTGCAGCTAGTTTGAATGACTTTGTATACTGCAGGGTAGCTTGTGGATTTACTCCAGGTGGAACTAAAGTCTGATTTAACACTTGATTATATTTCACATCATTCATCCACATCTGTAAAGTAACTAAAGGTATTAAATACATGTAGTGGAGTCAAAGTACACCATTTACCTCTGAACTGTAATGGAGTAGAAGTACAAAGTAGCATAAAATGGAAATACTCAAGTAAAGTACTAGTAGCTCAAAATTGTGCTTACAAGCACTTGAGTAAATGTACTTAGTTACTTCCCACCTCTGGTCTCTGATCATGGTGAATTGGTCACGTGTTGCTCACCAGTCGTTCTCCTTCTCGAAGTAGCAGACGGAGATGAGGCGCGCTCCGCTGCCCAGGGCGAACTTGTTCTCCAGCGGGGACCACCTCACACAGGTGGCTGCACGGTTGATGCGCACCAGCACCAGGGTGGGCTTCCACACGCCATCCTTTAGGGTCCACACGTAGGCGTTGCGGTCAGAGGCACATGTCACAATGCGGTTGGATTCTGGGGCCCAGTCAATGCCTGTGGACATCATTGTGAAGCTCCATTCAAGTGTCAAAGCATAAATTATGCAATGCTTTCTTTCTAATCATGAATTTAACTTAATGTCATTAACAGTTTTTATTATTCAGACACCCTCAAATCAAATGTGCTTCCTTAATTGTGGATATCAATACCAACATGTAGTCAAATAATTACATTTGAATTCAAATGTAGTTTCTCTTATTGGCTGCCCAAACTCTCATGTTTTAAACTCTGAGGGAATGACCATGCTGTGTTTTACAGTATAAAGGAATAAAAGCACCAGAACCCTTCCAATGTTTTCTCTTGTAATATGAATTCATTATCATTTTCATCAGACTAGTTTTTCTTAAATATAACGGTGTGATGCCAATAAGTGTTTTAGCCTATTATATCAAATCATTATTCCCAAGTAAAAGAATAAACTTTCAGTCCCAAATTCTTATCACATTAAATAAAAAAACATTTGTATACATCTCGTATTATCTCTCTCAAATGAATGTTCATATCAATTCATATCCCATCAATCCTGGTGTGTTAAAACAGAAACATACAAGTCGTAGGAGAATGGCAAGGGGCAAATGTCCAGCTGCACCTTTACCCCCGGCCTCGTCACTGTTGGAGGAGGGATACAGTACCTGTGATCCGCCCACTGTGCTCAGTCAGCTCGTGGACCTTGGCCCATTCATTGCCTTTCTTTTCATAGATGTCCACCACATTGTTGTTAGGACTCACTGCAATCTCTGTAAATAAATATGTATGCCCAAATGTTAGGCTTTTGAAATGTAATGATACTAATACAAAAACACAGGGGTAGTAAATATGACATAGTTTTTATTTAAGGAGAATGAATGTGCATTGTGATGACCCATATTCAGGGTGACAAAATTGACAAAACAGGGTTCATCTTATGTTAATACACAGATATGCCATGTCATTTAGCCATTCATTATTATTTTTGCAATAGTGGAAATGTCACTTCAGTCAGTTTACATCCTCTGAGGAGCATGACAATGTCATGGTAATATGCCCAGTTACATTTTCAATCAATAATTTCATTTATTTTTTATAAAACCTAATATGACATTTGTGTCAGGGGTCTTTATATCGTGGACAGCATACGGCACCTTTAGAGGATTTAATACCTACAGAAGCAAATTGAAATTCACAGTTTTCATTTGTGATTATTCTTAAAAAACGCCTGAAAGGTAAAAGATTAATCCTCTGGGAAAAATTAAGTACTCTTCATAGATACTGCACATTACATTTTGATTCTTAATGGGTACAGGCCTATAGCTTGTCCTGATAATTCCACCAGAGGAAAGTTCACGTCCAGAGAAATCCTCAGTATGGGGACCATGATCATCCATAACAGAGTTGCATGAGCTTTGGCAATGTCTTTCAGTTAGTTGCTCCACTTCAGACGTATCTATCTTAACAACAGTTAGATAGATTGCCATGACATCTTTGTACATTTCTGGTCACTAAAAAAGTGATTGTTATTACTTCATTAGGTTACCTTTTTACCATCAGCCTCAGGCAGCAGTCTCTTTGTTTAAAGCTCACCCCCCCCCCCCCCCCGTTGACTCCACTGACGCTACCCCCCCCCGTTGACAATCGCGAAGCGCTGTACTCCACTGACGCCAACCCCCCACCCCCCCACCCCCTTGACAATCGTCAGAAGTTGGAGTACCAAACACTGACTCCAGGTACTAATCTGAGTACCCCACTGAGAAAGTTGTGTGCACCCCTGCCTATAATGCTATATTTAAACAATATAGTATAGGGCCATATCTATACAAACATGTCTCTGAAGTGTGCATGCCTCATACCCCTCTATTTCAGCCCTGTTACTAAAGTGCTGATTCTGGGACTGGCCCTTTAAATGTAACCGAGCTGCTGCTGGCCACGCCCCTTTGGAGCGTCCACATGCAAGCAGTGAAGAGAAGGCTGTTTACCAGCAGAAACTCAGCTAAACGCTGCCGTGATTAAACGATATATTATGTTCCTTCTGAAACAGTATGGAGCTCAAACGCTTTCTCTCTGTACTGCTGTACTCCTGTACTGGAGGGAATATGTGTAAAGAAGCCGGATATAAAAGGTACTGTCTTTGTGGTAAACCCGCGACCATAATACTTCCAAAACACCTTGCCCATTGTTTCTGATACAGCACATAGCTTGACATGTTCTTTATTCAGTGTTTACCGCTAGAACAGAGCCATTGTATGTATTATAGATATATATAACAACTTTACTCTAAGTCCCTCTCATAGACATCCTGCTGAATACACAGACACACAGCTGAGGGAGGGGATTCAGCTAGTGACTGTATATGGGGACAATAGGTTGGGATGTGGGCGGGACGTTGCCAGGAGTTCAACGTAAAGCCAGCTCACATTTTAGTAATGTCGTCATGACTGTAGCAAATCTGGATCAGCTCTGTTGTACCCCACGTTTTTAGAGATGTGGGTAAGGAGGAAAAGAGAGAGGGTTTTATTTTCTGACACTTTGTGAGTCTCCTTACACATTAGGGACACATATTTATGTATAAAAGACATCAAAAAAGTGCATTTTGCATAATAGGTGACCTTTATTGCTCATATGCTAACATCCTTAACTTAGATGGAAATATAACAACCACAAATTTAAAGTGTGTATAAAAGTAATCTGCGCTTCCGTGTGTAACTGTAATGCAAAGTAAAACACAGAATAAGACATCCTGCAACTGAAGTGCAGTCAGATGCGTGCAGTAAGGCTCTTTGACTCCATTTCCTGCATAGATAATCAGATTCCCTGCGGTTCTCCAGACAACATTAATGAAATTAGATCAGGGAGAAAATGTATCTTCGCTCTGCATTGTTAGTGTGGTCCCACCCACTAGTGCACCCATCATGGAAAAAGAACACAGAGGCATGTGTAACTGTGTTGCTGGTCACCTACGGGTCCTGTCTTTGTTCCAGGAGTGGCAGGAGAGTGGCTCCAGTCCAAAACTGTAGAGCGACATGTCTGAACAGAAGGAGGCTCTGGAATGTAGCACTGTTACTGCTGAGCTGCAGATGTGTTGCTGCAGGTCCCAGGATCAGATCAGGGAGGAGGAAAGACAGATAATTAGTAGAGAAACATTTTTAGAGACAAAGCACCGCTCCTTTGTAGTATTTGGGTTGAGAAATAATGTGAGGAGTGAATTCTAAAGCAATAACAATAAAGTATACGTATAAGACTTTCATGCTCCTATTTAATCATAACATCTTAAATCCACCTGACTGGTATTGCTTACTTTACTGGCACTTACTGTATGAATGTATGAGTTCCCTGTCTATAGCAACTGTGAGCTGCTAGTAGTGACTGTAAGATAATGGCACACCTTTACCAGGTGTGGTGCACACTGTACAAACACTGTGACTGTAACGTCTGTATTCTGTGCCCTCTAACAACTACTGGATCTTACAGGAAAGAAACTAAACTTGTGCATATAGTATGAGCACATCCCAAGTGTTAGTAGGGTATTTGTATTTGTCCTGCCTTGTCAAACAGATTGGGATATACTGTTTTCCTAACTATATGGACCAGATGGAATGCAAAAAACTGTTTTACAAGTGATCAAAAACTGAGTGAGCTGATGTAATAAATAAATGTAATAAAACAAAATGTGATGTTATGACCTACTTTTGCTCTGTGGTCAGGTTCAGTTTGTGGAGCTGCTCAGAGGTGCAGGGCTGTGTTCGTGGACTCTGGGCAGTCGACACGAATGAAGCAGTGCGACTGGTGAAGGAAGTGACTGTGTTATTACAGGAGGGAGGGGAGAAAGGTGGGTGTGTCTGCTGATAGCTGTTGAGCAACAACCATCATGAGCAGGTGTGTGGTAATAAACCACCACAAGAGAGAGCATACACATGCTAAACAAATACAACAACAAAAACAATATGTAATATCATATAGCCTACTATAGATACATATGGTTTCTGTTTGTTTTTATACATAATATAATGCCCCAGCATGTTCAACTTAATTTGATACGGTAAAAGAGAGTTGCCGAAAATGCCAACCTTAAGAAGGTGAAGAACAGCGGATGATTTGTTTGTTTTTAACATCTATAAAGACCATCATGTCATATCAAAATAACTAATCAAATCCGTGAGTGTTTCAAGATAAAAAAAAACGGTAAAAAAGTCGAAAGTTTGCAGTTTCAGTATACCTTCTATGGATATAATTTGGACCGGTATATGTTATTTGTTGTTATTAGAGATTTCTTAAAACACATAACGAATTTATCATCTTCTTTTCTTGAATTAGAGGCGATGCTTTTATTGTGAAACGTCCAGGCGGAAGTGGTGGTTTTCTGCTGTCAAGAAGGAAAACAATCAGAGCCACGTCATTTGATATTTGGTAAATATGTTTTTATTGTTTGCTGTGTGAATAATGGCACACTGTCCTGCATGACTTAGTGTCAGCCTGGGTCGTGTTTCCGTCTGTTACCGCTCATTATTCACCTTGTTTTCAGACGAGGCTGTCGTGCTAACTGTTAGCTCGCTAAGCTAATGTTTGTGGTCAGTATTTCAAGAAGGCTTATCATAAGAAATCATCTGGTGAAATAACAGTAATTTTTCACGTGTGTTGCATTGCATTGCATTGCTAGAAGCTAACAGTGTAAATAGACCAGCCTCAGCTCTGCTAAATACTAAATAATACTGAGTGAGTGTACTACAGCTATAGCTCAATGGCTAGTTGGGTAGCATAGCAGAGGTGGAAAAAGTACTTGGACCTTGTAATGAAGTAAAAGTAGAAGTAACAGAGTGTAGTACTAATACTCTGTTACAAGTGAAAGTCCTGGGTTGCAGTCGAATAGTCCATTTAGCTTAGGAACCTTCCTAACGGAGTGAAATGACCCGGAAGTACCTCAGTGGCAGCCATGATAAGTGCCGTTCGAATTCTCTAGATCAGTGGTTCTCAACTGGTGGGTCGCGGACCCGTTTCGAGTGGGTCGCAGATGTGTGAGTGAAGACATTTTTTTTGAAAAAGGCAGACTTTTATTTTGAAGGCCCGATTTTCTAACGCTGTGCATGCAGTAGGCTTTGGACTGGAAGTACCGACCATAAACGGTTTTGAAAACTTCTGTCACGTAGTGATCATCATCTCAATAAAACATCTTTGCTGATGTTTTTTCTAGTCTTCTGGCCAATCAGAATCAAGATTGTTGCCGGAAGTCCCCACGGAGAATAACTTTGCGGTAGAACTATAGGGTGTTTCTCAATCGCGAGTAAAGCTGCTGCAGAGCCACTATTTCAAACATACTACGTCATCGAGTGCCGCCGAAGTACTGTTCCAATCTCCAGCATACTTGGAAATCTACCGAGCCCGGCGTACTCCGTTTGGAGAAATATCGAGGCTGCACATGAGTAGACTCCGCGGTCTTAAAATCCCCACAATGCTTTGCGCACGGACCAATTTCCCCAAATCTGTGACTGAAAATGTAAGAGGCGGGGCCTCTCATATGACGCACACCTGCACACTTGCTAGCCTGTTCCACTCTTTGTTTTCCGAATGCCAGGAAGTATTCTTGCCTCGCTTCTGAAGCAAGATGCTCGCCAGACATGTGCTACCAAGCAAGCGTACTCGCGATTGAGAAACACCCATAGAGTGGCGAAGTCACGCCCATCTACTTCCGGTCCATGGGACCTTATTTAGGAAAAATTATGTATTGAAGTCAATGGAGAGAGAAAACTTATCTTTCGATCGCGTTTGAATTGTGCCATGAATTACACATATGATGTTTGTCAATCTTAAAAAATCATTTCCATGTCAAAAAAGTCACAGTTTGTCGTAAAACTGTTGAAATATAAGACTATGAAAAATACGCAACTAGAAAGACTACAAATCCCAGAGTAAGTGATGTCATAACTGATGTCACAATTGTTTTCCTCCACTAAATAAGAGATAGCTAAGATAATATAACTTTAACAAGATGCCTGTGTGCTTAGTACCAGGTTGTTATCATACCAGCAATGGGTCTTGCTCGTTCTTTCGCTTCCCGTCTGATGAAAGGACCAGGAGTGGCTGGATCCAGTTAGCTACCTAGCTAGTAGCAAGCACGTTAGTTAGCATTACAGCCTTAGCCTTGTCATTTTTATTAGCCTTAACATGAAGTAACATTAAGTAACCCAAAATGTTAAAAAGTAAGAGTAGTAGTCATATTTCGTGAACCCTTTGAATAGTACTGTCACACCGGTGTGATCATTCTATAATACACCATTTAAGCCCGGGGGAGAAATGCTAACGCTACATTAGCATCGGCGATCTTTTCTACTTCATGCTATCTGCACAAATGGTTGACATTAAACATTAAAAAGATCAGGCAGTTCAGAGAGAATCAAAGGAAGGCAGGCAGCTTTGCATGACATTCTTCTGGACGTGTTTCATTGTGGTGATAGTGAGGGTAGTCAACAGAGTTGGGTGTAACGCGTTACAAAGTAACGCGTTACTGTAATAATATTACTTTTGTCGGTAACGGAGTAGTGTAACGCGTTTAAATATAATGTAATTTATAATTCAGTAATCACACTACAGTTACTAACATTGCCCCGACACGCGTTACTTCGTTACTTTTATAAAATCAGTCATAATCACACTGACAGACGAGGGGTTTCCGCCGCAGGTTTATATGTATGTAATCTGCGCGACTTGCGCGTCCACATCTCCACGTGCACTGCTGCATAAACATGGCAGAGTCAGCGATAACTTTCGAGGGGTGGAGGTATGCCCATTATTTTGAGTTCGTCCGAAGAATAGACAGGAATGTGACGGTGAGGTGCAAACTGTGTCCAGGCCAGAAGCTGTTATCCACTGCTGCAAACACCACGTCAAACCTCAACAAACACCTGCAAAGAACACATGCTAAGGTGAAGCTAATAGCTAAGGACCCCCGAACCCAGAGTGAGGATGTTGTGAGTGCGCCGCTGCCGACTCCGAAGCAGCACAAATTAGAATTTGGAGGACCGGTAACCAAAGCAGAGATGGACAGGCTTGTAGCATCCTTCATAGTAGAGGTAATGTTGCCCATTTGCACAGTGGAATCACCATCGCATCGTTCAGAGATATACTGCGCAAAATACAGATAGCAGGAGACAGAGGACAGCCATGGTCAGAGCTATCTGGATCAGTCTTAAGGCCCTGACACACCAGGCCGTATTCGGCCGTCTTGCGTTGTCTGGCGACAACGGGTTCCTTGTCGCCCAAAGTCAATTTGGTGTGTCCCGAACCCTCGGCCGTGACACGCCTTATTTGGCCTTTCACGGTCGACACCCGGCCGATTCAACATGTTGAATCGGCCAAAATACTGCCACAAGCTATCGGGCCAAGAAACCACTCTGATCAGCTGTTCAGCTAGCAAATGAGAAGCGAAACGGAAGTGAGGGACGTAAACAAACGATAAAAAAAGGCACAGGACAGCAGCTAAACCCCAGCAGGTGATGCTTAAAGACATCAAACATAGCCCTTAAATGTCCTCTCTTACCTCCCACACATAGCAGGGACATCTCTGATATCGGCGGGAGCGTCCCCCGGCTGTCCTCTGCTGAGAGCTCCGTGATTTGTTTGGTCAAGTCCGGTTTTTCATCTCATCGTAAATTTAGCAAGAAGTGGCCATTATTACATTACATACATTACTACATTGCTGACTCAATAAACGACACACCCGCCAGAACACTGCGATCATCAGATGCAGGTCTATTAACTGTGATTTTATAGTATGTCTGCACTTTATGTGCTCATTTCATCATTCATGTATTTTTATATTCTAAAACATGTTTTCGATGGACGAGAGTGAAAATGGAACGCACACGCTATTTGTTTGTTTATATCAGTCTGTTCTTCTTCTCTGTCTTCCGGTTGTTGCCTATTTTGAATGACGAATACACACTACCGCCGCCTGCTGGTAAGGAGAGTTATTGCCACTCACGCATGCGCAGTTCGTACGTGCTCGGCTGAAGTCTTTGCGGTGATTTCCAGTGCGACACATGGCCAAGACGCAGGAGAACTCGTCGATGGAACTGTCGGTGTCGGTGAGTTCTCTGGTGACTGCCTGGTGTGTCAGGGCCTTTATGCGACAATGGAAACTGAACTAAAGAGAACATTTGAAACTTTAGCAGTCTGCGTGATCTGCCTGTAGGGAGGGGCGGGCCGGCCCTGCGAGTAAAGTAACGAGTAAAGTAACGAGTAAAGTAACGAGTTACTTTATGTAGAGAGTAACGAAGTAGTGTAATATATTACTTTTTTTTTAAAGTAATATGTAATATGTAATATATTACTTTTTTTTAGTAACGACCCCATCTCTGCTAGTCAATCCCTTTTTTGGCAAGACAGTAGTGACGGCCATCTTGGTGACGTTTGTTGTTCTGTGAGACCAGAGATGTAGTTCATTGAGCGTTTCACACAAACAAATGTGTTACAGTTTTACGACACATTATTTTTTTTTTGACTTGCAAAATTATCTTTTAAATTGACAAACATCATATGTGTAATTTGTGGCACAATTCAAACGGGATCGAAAGATAATCTTTCTCTCCATTGACAATACATAATTTTTCCGAAATAAGGTCCCATGGAGGTCCACCGGAAAGGGAGGGACTTCGCCTCTCTATTCTTTATACATCCATGGGTACAACTTCAGATACAAATGAACAGATAATGAAATATGACCCCCGGTTTGATGATTGACAGGTCACAGAACAATGGGGGCTATCTACCCTTACCCACAATTTAAAGTAATTCACACAGACTATCTCCTCTTTGCTCTTCTCTCTGTGTGGAGCAGCATGTTCAGCTTCAGAACAAAGTGAAAAACAAACAATGGCATAAAATATTATTAATATGTCGGGTAGTAATAGATGTATTTATTTTCATCTCAGAGTGTACCAGAATGCGTATTTATATGTTAGTATTTCTAAAAATCTCCTAAGAATCCCCCCACACCCCCCTTCTGGGGTTGGGTTTTCAGCATGTGTGCCTTTTTATGTTATACAGTTCAGCTTTGATTCCATCATATCATTAAACCTTATTTAAAAGCATCCGTTCTGTGAAGGGATATAAGGGATATATGCACTGTGCTTCACTTGAATTAATCTTGTATGCTGAAAAGTGTATATATTGCAGCATTTGCCGTCACACAACATTCGGTCGTTCACGGAAACAACCGATTATGACCGAGAAATTATATCATGAAAGTTACGGTGCTTATTAAGCATTTTAAAACGTATGTGGTAAGTTGCCAAAGTGCTTTGTTTTGAACGTTCATCAGTATTATAATCAAAAAGAGAAATATGAACGTTAGTTTTTACTGAAATTATCAAATAAAGTCAACATTTCACAGTCTTTACTGAGCTGTGTGGGGTTTGTTCAACTTTTAAAAGATGTTTGAATGGTGATATACACAGTGATAGATGTTAAGGACTAACGTTTATAATAAATACATTTGTATTGATTTTAAGATCTTTTCATACAATAATACGTATTGGGATCATTTGTATTAATGTGGACCGGAGGGAGAGGGTGACGAGCATAAGTTTCACTTTCCTTTTTTATTTCAATTTCAACTTTGGTCATGAAGAATATGTTTCTCTGTTGTCCCCGTTCATAAAGCATAAAACAACAGCATCAGAGCACGGTGCAGAGTCTCTAGATGAGTTACAGTAGTCCCTCGTTCTTATTAAACATCCATGTTGTAGTCCGCTGTATAGAAAACTGTAGTTTCCATAGTTTCCCCACAGCAGCAGGCGCACATTTATGACCTCCCCTGGCGCATCATAAACACGTTGGATAGTGAAAGTGCAGTCGGATTCTCAAAGCACCGCAGTCTCTTCTCCTAAGTCCTTTTGAATTCTCCTATCCACTATCCCTTAACCCCGTGACCTTTCACTCAGAGGTCAAGGGATAGACGATAGGGATAGACGATAGGAGCTGATTTTTGGACTATTCGACCGCAACCCTGCATTCAAAATGTTACTCTAGTAAGTTACTAAAGTCTTATTTAAGTGTTGATTATATTTCACATCATTAATCCAAATCTGTAAAGTAACTGAAGGTATTAAATAAATGTAGTGGAGTAAAAGTACAAACTAGCATACAATTGAAATCCTTAACAACGTAATTCTGTCATTTATCTTAATTTACTGCGTTCCAGGAGAAAATACTCACCTTAACTAACCTGCTCCTATGAATGGAGTAACAATGACCCTGCTGATCAATAGTTTGATAACTGTGGTAAAAGGAGTTCTCTAATGAGGCAATGCATCAGGGCTACCTCAAGAGTTCCAGTAAAAGTTCCAGATTCAGAATCTCAAAATGTTGAAGTAAAAGTAGAGAATGTGGTTACAAGGTACTTACATTTGAACAATAAAATAAATCTTACCAATTTGTTAGAATCTATTTTTATTTTATCGTTACAAATGCATCTACGTGTGAGATGTTGACTGCAGGGTGGGATTGAACCGGTGTTCCCCAGCCCCCCTGATCTGAGGATCAGCGCACTAGCTTTTTTGCGTTTTATTTTTCAGTGTGTAGACAATGTTTTCCAAAATTAGTGTCCATCTTCCAATCTTTACTACAGGTTATGTTTTTAATGCCAAACATTTTTGTGGCTCGAAACCGTTCTGTATCAACACAAATTGATTCACTTTATACCTAACCTGCTTCAATAAAGAATGATTCTTCCATCACATACATCACACAAAGTCATTGAGCAAATGTTTGAGTTTTTTTAGATAATCATCTTTATTGCTTTTATCACCCAGCAAAATGTGTCAGTATAAAGTCATATTATGGTTCTTGTTACATTATTCAAGATAGGAATCAATCATAGTATGGCATGTTTCTCATTTGAAAGGTTTATGGGACACATATTTTAGAGAAGCTGTGAAATAATGTTTAATAAGGTTTATCTTTTAGACATGAAAGGAAATGAAAGTATGGAAGGGCCAGTGCTTGTCCCCTCTAAACATGGCATGCTATTTGTAACTTTCAATTGGGATACCCCTTAAGTTCATAGGTCAAAAATAAAGCACAGTTTCCGAATAATTCCCAATATCAGAATGCTGCTTCCTGATCCGTTTTGTTTTCCCTTCTCCTCTTCTTCCAGGTCACAAGACAAAAATGGCCTCGAGCACAAGCGGTGAGGAGGAGCGTAGCCTCCGAGAGTGCGAGCAGTATGTCCAGAAGCACAACATCCAGAAGCTGCTCAAGGACTGCATCATCCAGCTGTGCACCACCCGGCCCGACCGGCCCCTGGCCTTCCTCAGGGATCACTTCGACAGACTGGAGAAGGTGGGGGCTCAACTCGTATATAACTATTGATGAATGCAGGATGTAGGGCCCATCTAAGGCAGGGATTGCTAAACCAGGTAATGAATGGGCCCCAGGGCTACAAATTCAAAACGGAGAGAACGGAGCTTTCAAAAGTTGAGTTACACTCTACATGGCCCGATTTAGATCATGCTTGTTTGTCATAAGCTGTCCAAACATCTGGCCAAAAGGCATCATATTCAGTCGGATAATGAAAATAACTGCTATCACTCGTAGCTCTGGTGCCCCATTTACGTGTAACGTTACCACGTCAGGTGTGTTATGTTTGCTGGCAGCCCAGAGCCCCCACAGGGAGTTAACTAACTCTTACAAACATGGATTCAATGTAACCATTTTTTATTTTGCACTTATTCATTCTTTTTTTCATTTGTTTTGCATTTCCATCATCACATTAGTCTTTAATAATTTGTCACAAGAAAAAATATTTTACATAAAATAAAGCAAAGTTAATTCTGTTTCCAATTTGTTTTTCCCTTAAAAGATAACAAAAAGAACCGATCAAATAACGTTAAAGTATCGTATCGATCAAGATTTTTTAGAACAGCAGAAATAGTAGCTAAAATGAGTCCAACAAACTCAGATAGATGCTGGAGAAGTTGTGGTGCACAAGTAGGCACCCATACCCATGTGTTTTGGTCGTGCCCTAAACCAAGAAAGTTCTGGGATGAAGTGTTCGAGGCCCTAAATGAAGTGTTCCACCAACATTTGACAAAGGATCCTAAGGTGGCACTGCTAGGTGTGCGACCAGAAGGCATTGAGGTAAATATTGCCTACAGCAACAATTCAATGTATCACAATTTAGTGGATAAAACCTGACCCCCAACATCCACTTTATGGACTGAGAAGGTGTGGGAATTCTATCAGATGGAGCAAATAACATATTCTCTAAGGATCCAGACAGAAATATTTCTAAAAAGAGTCCCGCCACAACTTTTGTTTTGTTTATGTACTTATCTTTAATATGTCTCTTTTTTTTTATCTGCTTTTTTGTTGATCTCCTTATGTTGGTTCTGAAATAAAAACTAAGTTAAAAAATACGACGATACCCATCCTTAATCTGAGGATTTAATTATTCTTGAGTGTCACATGTATGGTTCTGTGTACCTGTTGCCCAGCAGGAGGAGGTCCAGCAGATGTCTTCTCAGAGGAAGTCGAGCTCGCGGTCAGACTCACGCGAGGACGAAGTGTCCCCGCCCATGAACCCTGTGGTGAGGGGCCGGAACCGGAGAGGAGCCATCAGTGCCGAGGTGTACACTGAGGAGGACGCCGCCTCCTATGTCAGAAAGGTCTGTGGTGGTTCCTTTCATTTTCTTATTCCACACACCTTCATACTGTTTTCAAAGCTGCACAAATCCATATTTGTATTCTATGAACTGACAACATGTGTAGTGGGTGATGTGATGAACCAACCGAGAGAGCTCCACACACTCCGCTCTACTGAGGAATGAAGCCTAGACTTTAGCAAAGTAGCTGGCTCTAAAACTCTGTTCTCATCGTGCAGGTTAACGGAGCAGAGAACATAGTGGAGCATTTAGCTACTAAAGAGCAAATCAGGAATATTGATATTGGACTTGATTCCAAATCTAAAGAAGCTTTCTCCCCCCAGGTTATCCCAAAAGACTACAAGAGCATGGCGTCGCTGTCTAAAGCCATGGAGAAGAATGTGCTGTTTGCACACCTGGACGACAATGAGAGGAGGTAATGGCTCCACTCAGATTGGTCGTTTTCAATCTTTCTTAACGCCTTTCCATCTAACCAGAGTCTTTTTTTGCCCACCAGTGACATTTTTGACGCAATGTTTTCTGTCAACTACATTGCTGGAGAAACAGTCATCCAACAAGGTACGTTTTATACACAGGCATAACATATGGAGAAGTTTCTTTATGTTCATTCATTCATAGGACTCTTCATTGCTCCTGTTGCAGGTGATGAGGGGGACAACTTCTATGTTATCGACCAGGGAGACATGGATGTAAGAGCTCTTCCTTATACTTTGTGTGCATTTTTGAACTTCATAACCAACTGTCATTGTATTAACGTATTCAAAAACGACTTTACCTCCACGTCCTTTAGTGGTTCAGACAGGGACAAGTTTGGAGTACTAACAAGACTAAAACCAACAATTTCTTTATTTAACAATGAGGTTGCTCTGTGGAGTTATGTTGCAGGTGTTCTGCTGCCCCCAAGTGGACAGAAATATTAATATAATTGTACAGCTTTAACTTTAGCGAAAGAGAATTTAACCTTATAGCTGCGCTACATCACTCCTGGATAATATTAGGCCACGCCCACTTTCCAGTGAAAACAAGGCATCTTTTCTTCATGCCTAAAATCCTGCATTACGATTTCTTTACTTCCTCTACAGAAAAAGGACAGTAAAAGAAACGATCTGATTCAGAAATCACAGTTTCAGTGTTAGCCTGCCGCTCGTCCACCGGCAGACTGACCAATAGCTGCCCACTGCTCCTAGTACTAGACTCCTTGTACTAGGATGGGTTAAAAGCAGAGGCCAAATTTCACTGTGTGTGCTGTGTGCTCTGCATGTGTGACCATTAAAGAGGGTTTCATCCCTCCCTATTAAATTAAACCAGTCATCCGTCTCCTATTGATTTCAATTCAACCGTGAATTGTTTGTCCGTCTGACCATCATAACTGGGCTCCTTGTAGATAAAAAAAGGCGCGGTATTACTTTTTTGATGTGATTGCCGAAAACGTCAGAATCTGTATTTACAGCCATTAAAATGATAGCAAGTGTTTTCACCCCAAAAGGGGCGTGGCCTTGCATAGAGGGAAAGTACCCTGATGTCATCTTTTGGGGCCTTTCTCTTTTGTTGTTAAATTGTATGTATAGCTAGTTGTAATTGATGTATACTTAAATATCAAATACCTTAACGTGGTTTTGGTCATGTGATATTTTGATGTCAGGAAAAGAAATGAAAAACTAGATGTTGATCACTTAACTGGCATATGAATGTTGTGGATGCAGTATAGACAAACTTAGCCCTCATCAGCCATCATTATCATATTATAGATACAATGATTGATGTCAATAGAAACCGGCTCACCTATTTCTGCTTTATCTTTTATATCTATATTTAGATATATGTGAACAATGAATGGGTGACCAGCATTGGGGAGGGGGGCAGCTTTGGGGAACTGGCTCTGATCTACGGGACCCCTCGAGCAGCTTCAGTCCGGGCCAAGTCTGACGTCAAATTGTGGGGCATCGACAGAGACAGCTACAGGAGAATACTGATGGTGAGCTGCAGTCCCAGGCCCGAAATGAAATGACACAAGCATGATCAGATCGTCATGAACTGACACCATTTCTATTTTTAGGGAAGCACTTTGAGAAAGCGCAAAATGTATGAGGAGTTCCTCAGCAAGGTGTCCATTCTAGGTAAGAACTGTAGTGTCTTATCAGATTGAAGCAGTGCTTCCTGTTTTTAAAAGAAGATATCACTGAGCTGCTGACCTGCTGTTGCTCCTGACAGAGTCTCTGGATAAGTGGGAGCGTCTGATGGTGGCCGATGCCTTGGAGACTGTGCATTTTGAGGACAGCCAGAAAATAGTGGTGCAGGGTCAGCCTGGGGATGAGTTCTTCATCATTCTGGAGGTAGGAACACCTTCTGTAGCAACAATCAGCACACAGCGCATGGATTGGCAGGCAACTTGTTTTGGTGTTGAACCCCTCAGTGTGAATTCTGTCAACAATTGATTTCCCATTACTTAGACAGCACCAATGTCATTAAACAGTTACTGTGGCAATTTAAAAATGCAATATCTTTTAGGGTGAACAAAAGTAGTTTAAATGAAACAACTACCAAAGTTTTTCCCCCAAAGAATATTTTCTATTTTGTCATGCATTCCACCATTAGCTTGATAACAGCTACATTGGATTTCTCTGGAGAAATTGGGCTCTATAATCAGTGCATCTGCGACTTGGATGTGAATGTTCTGTGGTGTAAGTGGTCTCTGTTGTGCTCCCAGGGTACAGCCGCGGTGCTGCAGAGGCGCTCCGAGGACGAGGAGTTTGTGGAGGTCGGCAGACTGGGACCCTCAGACTACTTTGGTAAATCAGACGTGTACCGGCTTTTTGTCACCAAGAAGCTGATAGAAGCCGAGTGTGGATGAAAACAGTCAAAAATACCTTAAATATAGTATCTATTTAAACAAAAGCAGGACTTCTAAGCATTGAGTTTGCCTGTGTAACCTGATGACTGCTCTCTTCCAGGTGAGATCGCCCTGCTGATGAACCGGCCCCGGGCTGCCACTGTTGTTGCATTGGGCCCCCTCAAGTGTGTTAAACTGGACCGGCCCCGGTTTGAGCGAGTGCTCGGCCCCTGCTCTGACATCCTGAAGAGAAACATTGAGCAGTACAACAGCTTTGTTTCCCTCTCTGTCTGAGCGACTCGGACCACCTTTCTCTCCTGCAGGGTCTAACACACATCTGCTTCATTTTCCCGCTTCTCTCTTCATATGGTGCCACCCACATAACAGGACTTCAATATGTCTGATACTCCTTTATTTGATTTATTTTTGTAGATGTACTCAGGAGATGTCATTGGTTTCCTATGAAGGGAAGAGCGTCATCCCCTTAAGTTGTAAATAACCACATAGGTATTTTGTTCACTTTGAAGGTGTGGTTGGGATGAAATAATGCTGTGTGCATGACTGACTGTGTGTTCACACTGCTCACTGAGAGTTCAGAGGTCTGTTACAGGTTCTAGAAGTACAGGGAGCTCGCCATAAATGGACATCAAGGATCAAATCTAGTCTATATTCTAGTTGCAAGCCTTGTGAACCTGGAAATGTAGAGTATGTATCCTCAGCACAAAGAAACTGCTGGATGCTAAGGTGCATTCAAAGTTGCATTAATTAGCATATGCATTCAATAGCTATTTCACATTTTGGAGTGGTTTTGGAGGTTAATGAGGATGTTGAATCCATTTTTCGGGATCAAAAATGGCAGTTTTAGTCCCCTAAAGATTGAAAAGGTACCCAAAATTCATAAAGAAAGTACTAATATGGCCACTTTCTGGTTAAACTGCCATTTTTTTATCCTGGAAATGTCAGAATGTTCAGCATCCTCAATAACCTCCAAAACCACTCCCAAATCATCCAAGCATTTTAAAACTATTGTCTGCAAATGCTTATCAATACTAATTTACGCAACTTATAATAATTGTGCAAACTGCCCAACATATGCAGGTTAGCATCCGGCAGTTTCTATGTGCTGGGGACCCTAATATACATTTCTAACATAAAACTTTGGGGTTCTCAACATTTCAGGGTTAACAATAAGCAAACTGACTACTATGTCTTGGTAGAACGTGCATATGCAATAGCTGATGTAAATAGATGAGTCAAATTTAAGACGGGATAGAAAAGGTTGCATAGAAATACAGTATGAGAGAATAGTTATGTTCCACGGTTTGATGTGGTGAACAATGATAGTTCCTCAGTATCAGGTTACAAATGTTGACAGTGTGAATGCACAGTTAGTTGCTTCATCCAGACATCTCCAGTGTTCATGAAGAGGCTTTATGTTTGTGACGGGGAATGCCAAAAGGTTCACTGTTTGCTCATTGTTGAGATGTTTTTAGCCATGTTAGCATCTGGGTTCAGCCCGTGTTGGTTAGCTGCTTTGGTCTGGACTGAAATATCTCAGCAACTATTAAAGAATCCATGTCCCACTCAGGATGATTTGAAATCCTTTTGGAGATCTGCTGACATTGCTTTAGCACCACTCTCAGCATTTGTAATTGAATCAATACTTTTATCTAACCAAATGCCCTAAACCTCAGCTCCTGTGCTAATAAGCAAATAGGACATGTTAGCATGTTGATGTTTCTATTCAGCTCAAAGCACCACTGTGCCCAGGATGGTCTCAGAGCCAGCGTGGCTTCAGTCTCCTGTGTATTCTTTTATTTTCTTCCTGCTTTTGATCTGGCTCTGATGTGGACACGCTTTTGTTTAAGGGTTGCCTTGACATTAAGATACTTAGGTTTCCTGCATATCGTCACACAGTTCTACAGAAGTACCAGCCGTGAACCTACAGCATCCAAATCATTTCACATTAAACCTTTCTCTTCCACCATCGCTTATTTTAAATGAGCTTTTAATTCAAACTTCTCCATTTCATCTTCATTTTTCCGTATTAATAAAAAGTCATTTTCACTATCATTTTACATTTTCTTTATAATCTTTTACATTTTAAAATGTAAATATTTAAGTGTTATATTCGGCAGTGTTAGGTACTGCAAATACCTAACACACTTAAATATCCTGGTTTCCCGTTATCTCCCTTGATCATATCATATTTACAGCTCTGCTACAAATCTATATATTGAGAGTAAATATCTTTTGCCAATTTTGTGACGTACAAAATGATATAATCAAAGAGACAAATGTTGATGTGCTCTTGAGTTCACTGTGAAGTGTACTTCTGTCATGCTTACACAAGAAAAAAGCCAAACAAAAATGTTTTATGCCGTAAATATGGAAAACACAGCTGGTCCTGAACACTGACAATTTCCATATTTGCTTTTTTAGGCAGAGGCAGAGCCATCTTGACTCTTTGACCCAAATATATGTCATGCTCCAAAAAACACTGGATCCTACATTTCCTATAAAACAATCCGTATCATCACTTGTTAAAAGTCCCACAGCCTTTCACAGAAACCCCTTTACTGTAAAGAATTGGAGTTGTTAAATGTTGTGAGGCAGCCCTTCACTCTCTGTTAAAGATGGAAGAGGAGGAGGATTTGAGTACTTGAGATACAGGCCCGTCTTACAGTTAACAAATCTACAGGTATGTCCCTTGTTACACGTGTGTATTTGGAGGTACAGTATGCAAGTCAAAGTGTCAAACAGTCCCTGTCTCACACATGCTGGTCATTCTGTCCCCTCTTCTCTCAGATGGAGACAGTCCTTATTTTGAGCTTGCAGTTTATTGATGTGTTTGATATATATTTTTGTATAAAACACCAGTGTTAAATGTGTCTGAACTTTTATGTTTATCAAATATGTCTTTAGAGTGTTGCACCAATATGTAAAGTAGTGTCATTTTGACTTGGTACTGTATTATCATTATTATCATCTATGTTTTCTGACTTTAAAGTACTTCTGACTCACTCACTGCTCCTCTGCAGATCTCTTCAGAGGAGCATCCTTCCTGTAGTTTTGGTGCCTTTCTTCAGATTGACTGGAGTGATTGTGCTTCAATGTCTGTGTTTTGGATTCTTCTGTAGGCTGTATTTACAGCGGTTCAAGCAATAAAGAGATCAGATTTTAATGTTGCCTAATCTCTTGACCCGTAGAGAGCCCTGACCACATTTAGTTTCAACATCTGTTTTATTTTCTAATATCTTTACATTGTTTATGTCCTGCAATGCTTATAATGTCCTTATATTTGAAGTACATTTGCTTTTCAGTATTTCCATTGTATTCTTTCTTGTTCAACGACTGTAAAACTAAGATAAAAATGTACTTTGTATCTCGATGAGTCTTCTGCCAACTGTGTTCCAAGGCTGCAGTGATTACAACAATGAAAATGCACTCATTTAACCTTTAATGATTTCTAGTTTATACTACACAGTTCTTTGTACATGTACCTACTATCTAAAAGATACTGTTTGAAAATCCTTTAACATTTAATAATTTAAGTGTTATTTTTGGGGTCCAATCAGATGTCTGCCAGGATTACTATTCATTTCTAAATTATCTTTCATGCTTTTAAGTTATAGATTCAAGATTCAAAGGTTTTAATGTCATATGCACATAAGCTACAGCAACCCTGTCTCCTCAAAATGACGTTCCCACAGAACTAAACTGCGTTCTCAATAGCCGCGTTCACACCAAGTACTTTGCCGTACTTAGTGCCGGCACTTAGTGCCCCGGCACTTATTACCCCAGGGCACTTATTACCCCAGGGCACTTAGTACAGATCACGTTCACACCGGAATAAGTTCCCTGAGGGAAGATTATGCAGATGAGCCGCTGACGTCACTTCTTCTTCTTCTGCTTTGAGTTTACTGGCAGGCTGCAAACCACTTCACGGTGTATACTGCCACCCGGAGTCCCCGGCCGGAAGTCCCCGGAGTTGGGGACTGGCTTCAGTAGAAGCTGCTGGGACTCCCAGCAGCTTCTACTGAAGCCTTCCGAGTAAATCGCCAGAACGCCGACAGCTCCTCATCTCCACCGCTCCCATATTTTCTTTTGTGTTGCCATAAGTTAGTCTCTCTGCATTTGTGCACTGGGCGAATGCTAATGCTAATAATGCTAATGCGAGGATAATAAAATGGCAGCTCTACAAAACATTTCAGAATTTTACGGGGCGTGGTTTGCAATTCGCCCAGCCAATCAGAACTGGGGCACTTTTTTCCCCCAGGAAAGTACCATCTCTCACTAAAAATGGGGGTAAAAGTTCCCGGCACTCAGTACTCTTTTGGTGTGAACGCGACATAAGGGGTACTAACGGAACTAAACGCGAAAAGTACGGGGAAAAGTACTCCGGTGTGAACGCGGCTATTTACGTTTGTTTTGGACGTAACTCAAATACGTTTATTTTCTACATATCTTTGCCATTTATTGTCTTGCTTTCCTACAATGCGCCCGACCACGCACGGGGCTGCTATTAATTAGAACAATCTTGCTGGCCTTTATTATTATTATTATTATTAGGATACTATACGATACAAAGAGAAAAGAATGTTACGATCTCACGTTTTCTGGCCACAGTAGTTGCTTTAGAGAATTTTACACCCGGAAGTAAGTATTCTCTCTAATGTCGATTGATTTTACAGTGATATCTGCACTACTCATCAAATCAAAAACACCACATTATACCTAATTACACAACATTGATTGATTTAAATTGTGTACAATGCTTTTGTGTTTTTCCCCTTCGATTCGGAGAAACAAATAGTTTTTTCAGAGTTTAGGATGGCAGAAGACACTACACTACCCATAATCCTCAACTATTGTTTGGGACTACACCAGTCCGCTTTGCTTGACAAACCCCGTGATTAGTCCTCAAGCTCTGTGATTGGATGTTGGAGTGGCAGTGCCCCAAGGTCCCGCCCTTCTACTTCCGCCCCATGGGACCTTATTTCGGAAAAATTAGGCTTGTTTGAGACGAGCGAGACCGACGCAGACCTGCGCAATTGCGATCGCCGTCTTGCTAGTGCGTTGCATGATGGTTAGTCATTTTGTCCGACTTGCTCTGGAGGCTCGCCTACATGAGACGTTGAAATCTCGCGGGACAAAAGAGGTTTCTCAATACTCTAATTTCCCCTCCTCGACTCCTATCCTCGAGACTTAGGCCGTTTCTCAATCGCGAGGATATTGGCTTCCAAGCCAATATTTCAAGGATGCTACGTCATCAAGTGGCGCAGCAGGACCGTTCCAATGTCCAGCATACTTGGAATTCCACCGAGGCCGCGTCCTTGGTTTGGGGCGAAATTTCGAGGCTGCACATGGGTAGACTTCGCGTCCTTAAAATCCCCACAATGCTTTGCGCACGGACCAATTTCCCCAAATCTGTGGTGGAAAATGTAAGGCGGGGCCTCTCATATGACGCACACCTGCACACTTGTTAGCCCGTTCCATTCTTCTTCGTTTTCCCAAGCCGTGGCTTGGAAGCATACTTGCTTCGTTTCTGAAGGAAGTGACTTGGAAGTACGCGACTACCAAGCCAGCATCCTAGAGATTGAGAAACGGCCTTAGTGCCGCCCACAGGAGATGCGAGCGGAGGACTGAGGAGGGGAGCCGAGGAGAGAGGAGGGGAAGCAGCAGGCGGTTAGAGAAATGAGAAATCCTCTTCTCTGAGCGGTCATTTTAAAGAGACGTCCATTAATGATGACAGGAGGCACAGCAGCCCTCTGTCTGATGGACAGATGTGTTCATGACCACTTATATATTTACTTTGAATTCATTGACAGTGCGGTATAATGAGACAATAACAGGCTACAGATGCGGACATATACACACACATATTTATATAAATATATACAATTTCAGAATCAAACAAGTATGAGAGCACTCTCATAATAACGTAACGCAATCAGAGACTGGATATACCCCCCCCCTCTCTCTGGTCACTGAAATGTGGAATTGAAATTACGGGCCAAAAGTTGTATTTACAAGTATTAAAAGTAAGCATAGGACACCAAACCAACTGCGACCCATCTGTCCGCCGCATCTACACACTGTACCACACACACACCTACACACTGTAGGCCTACCACACACACACCTACACACTGTACCACACACACCTACAGCTGCTAAAGCATAATCAGGCTACAGCCGTTGTGTATTTTATTATGTGAAGCACTAAATGGTCTTAGACAAATATGGACTCTTTGTTTGTAGATATCTACTAAACTACAGCATATAAATACAGAGAGTAATGTAGGCCTGTTATACTGAGTAATATATATTTTACGCACTGCTCTGCTTTCTGCACGGACCTCACAGCTGTTCTCACTGTAAACATCGCGTCACGATGAAAGCAGTTACTAAAATAATATCCAGGGGATGCATGCAGAGCTGTCATTGGCTGAGATAAGTCCGGCCGTGCGTAACGCCTCCACCGTTCCCGGAAATGCATCCCCGGAGGAGCCGTGGAGGAGCCGTGGAGGAGCCGTGGAGGAGCCGTGGAGGAGCCGTGGAGGAGCCGTGGAGGAGCCGTGGAGGAGCCGTGGAGGACCCATCCGGGGCCGTTTCTCAATCGCGAGGATATTGGCTTCCAAGCCAATATTTCAAGGATGCTAGTCATCAAGTGGCGCAGCAGGACCGTTCCAATGTCCAGCATACTTGGAATTCCACCGAGGCCGCGTCCTTGGTTTGGGGGAAATTTCGAGGCTGCACATGGGTAGACTTCGCGTCCTTAAAATCCCCACAATGCTTTGCGCACGGACCAATTTCCCCAAATCTGTGGCGGAAAATGTAAGGCGGGGCCTCTCATATGACGCACACCTGCACACTTGTTAGCCTGTTCCATTCTTCTTCGTTTTCCGAATCGTCGAGTCGAGGAGTCGAGGAGTCGAGGAGTCGAGGAGGGGAAATTAGAGTATTGAGAAACCTCTATAGACGCCCGCAGACTTGAGAGCGAGGCGCGGCGAGCGTTCTTATTATACATCCATGGCGGCGAGGCGGCGCAGTTTCTCTCCACGAGCTGCAGAAGCTAAATGCTTGATGGGAAACGACTTGCTGGTATCTCCAGCTGAGCGCTCATTGGTGGGTTTTACCCTGTGCTGGGGATGAAACTCTCCATTGGCTCGGCAAAAGTTTGTTGTTGTTTTGTGTCAGTTTTACGTCGCCACTTCCATTCACATTTTTCATCATTGTTCCACAATGTTTATCATCATTAAATTAATATCTATATATTTTATACTATACTTGCACTGCTTACCGTTTTCATACTTTATATATACACTGCATATTCATACACACTGTTCATACTGTTCATACTGCTCACAGGCTGCTCTGTATATCTAGTGTATTCATACCCCTCACTGTTTTTTCATCATTCAATTCATTCTATATTTTATTCTGTAGATTGTGTACATTACTTTTCACTTTACTGCTTTTTGCACTCCTGGTTAGAAGCTAAACTGCATTTCGTTGTCTCAGTACCTGTAATCTGTGCAATAACAATAAAGTTGAATCTAATCTTGAGCAGGAACAAATGTATTTACTTACATATCTGACATTAACGATTAAACACATTTGTGCATTCTTTATAAATGCAAACCGAGTCAAGCCGACTCCGGAGGTGGCGGTATGCACCTTAAAGTTGTTTGCAATCCGCCAAAAAACCGAGAGAAGAAGAAGAAGAAGCCGACTCCGAGCTGTCCGACTTCAGGCGAGCTTTTTGAGACCTCCCTCGGCTGCAATCGGCTATTCTCGTCTACTTTCGAGGCGAGCCGCAGCTCGTCTCAAACAAGCCTACTATGTAGAGAGGCGAAGTCCCTCCCCTTCCGGGAGCCTCCATGGGACCTTATTTCGGAAAGATTATACATTGAAGTCAATGGACAGAGAAAACGTATCTCTTGATCCCGTTTGAATTGTGCCATGAATTACACATATGATGTTTGTCAATCTTAAAAAATCATTTCCATGTCAAAAAAGTCACAGTTTGTCGTAAAACTGTTGAAATATAAGACTATGAAAAATACGCAACTAGAAAGACTACAAATCCCAGATCCCATTCTGGGTCGCGTAAGTGATGTCATAGGCGATAATGCTCCAAGTGGTTGCGACTCGCAATTAAAGCAAAGAAGAAGAAGAACATGTCATAACTGATTTATTCCCTCCAATAAATGTAAGAGATTGCTAAAATAAATTAACTTTTACAAGATGCCTGTGTGCTTTGTACCAGCTTGTAATCACAACAGTAATCATACCTCTTGCTCGTTCTATCGCTTCCCGTCCGATGAAAGGACCAGGTGTTGCTGGATCAAACATATCAGGTAATATACATGTTGTGCATGGA